ATTTGCATTTCCCTGGGGCCTGCGATGTTGCGCTTTCCTTCTTGAGTTTATTGACTGTTTGTGTTTCTTCTCAGGCCTTCTTTTTCCCCCTTCACTTTTAGAGACTTCAGTCTGGGCTAGAAAACTGAAAGCAGTGTCTGAACTTGGCGTGAAGGAGTTTATCAATAGGAAATGGAGATGGAGTGGGGGCTGAGAGGTGGACGGAGATTATTGTTGCGCTGTGCCCTGCCTCTGGCTGGGCCTTAGCTCCCTGTTGTACCTGTCATCCCCACAACCCCTCTGAGGGCGGCTGCTGAGCTGGACTTTACTGGGCAGATCCCAGGCTGTGGGGTGGCCCGGTCCACACCCTTCTAGACCTTGGTTTTTGGTACACTGAGCTTGATTTGAAAGTTAGTAAGCTTTCTCCCCCTCTCATTAACTTTGAATCAGGATGGTTAAATTCACAGCTGGCTGAATACTTCCCAGAAGATGAGGGGAACAGTATTGATTTTAGCGAAATGAGTCATACGCCTGCTGTCTGGGTGCGCAGGCCAATTACCTCCAGCCAGCAGCACAAGCTCTCCCCTGTCAACATTTTCTCTACTCGTTCATGAGGCTCTGGATGCGCAGAGAGCGGGGAAGGGGGAACGGTCGGGCCTAGCTGGCGGGCCGTGGGGCTCTGGGGCTCTGGGTTGGGAGGGTGGGGTCCTCAGTGCTGCCTCCTTGGGGGGCTTAGCTGTGTGAGGTGGGTTCCTGGCCCCAACCTGCGGCCTGTGGGTGACACAGGCAGGCGGTGGCAGGAACTGTGAGTCATAGCCAAGGGGAACTTGCCGAGAGCAGGACTCGATGTCCCTCTTTCCTGGACCCGCGCTTGGGTTTTGACTGACCTGAAATGGTTCTGGGTGAGGAACTGGGCCAGGACCAGTCGCTGAGCAGAAGAGGAGGAGGGCCTCTGAGGCCTGAGGCCCTGGTGGCCATGAGGTCCCCCAGGGCAGATGTCAGGGTAGACAGTGGTGTGGACAGTGTGGGGGCTCCCCCAAGACAGGGACCTGCAGACGGGAAGTGTTGGCAGGAAGGAGGGTGTTGAGGGAACACATCGAATGTCTGCATCGCCTTTTAAGCACGTTTTTGTGGTGCTTTATTTATTTTGGGTCTGGGGATTGAACTCAGGGCCCCATACATGCTGTGTGAGTGCTCTGCCGTGGGGCCACACTCCCGCTCTGATAATTTATTTTTTACTTGTACTGTTATTGATTCAAGGAGGAAAAGATGTAATCTTTCTTAACTCCAAGAAGATCCAAACGGCTTTTATATTGGTTGAGCTCATTATAATCAGATCAATAAAGCCAGTTCCAGAGGATGAAATGTTTCAAAGCTCCATTTCCTATAATAAGCGTACAGTGAATAAACAGAATGTCTTATAAGCTCGCAGACAGACACTCAGGACAGTGGCAAGGTTGATGGTTCTGGAACAGCTCCCCCCTGCAAGTGGGGGCTCGCCCAGGAGGAGATGGCAGCAGATGAGAGTGCTCCAGCCCTTCCCTGGACCCCTCCCGCCGCCACTGCAAAGGGCAGCCCAGGGCAGCCTGTCCCCAGGGCCTCCCGATGGGAGCCCAGGAATCATTAGCGTCTCCAGGTTCCCTGGGCTTTAGCTTTTAATTTAAGCAAGGATACATCCAATAGGTTGGGGCTTAATTTTTCAGACTGTAACAGCTCTCTGTTGCTGGCTCTACAGAGTGCATTAGGGGCTACCTAAACTTCCAAAGTCCCGACGGTATGCGACAAGCATGTGATACAGTGGGTGACTGGGCTGGGTGGGCCCTGGGGTCTGTGTGGCCTTTGCTCCTCAGCTGTCCCATCCCCGCCTCCAGTGCGGTGTTTTGTGAGGGGGCCCGACTTCTGAACCGAGGTCTTGCTTGAGACCTCATTACTTAGCCGGAATTTGCTCTCGTGTTTCTCATGAGCTAACCTGGCAGCTTATTAAAACCTTTAAAAATCTTTTGCTTTTGTGCCCTGTTAGCACAGAAAAATAGTAAAGACCTAATTATTAAAAGTAGAAAAAAAATACTACAGCTTGTCTTCTAAGTGGAAAATTTTTGTACTTAGAAGACAGTTTCTCCGTCTCTCTGGGAGTTGAGGAAACATAACATTCAGAAATACAATTTTCTTTTAAACAGAAGAATTTCAGTCATCATCTCTTAGCACCTCACCTTCTCCTCTCATCTTCTTCCCCCTTGCTGGCAGGGTTGGATCATTGCACTTTTTGGAAAAAAAAAGACAGAATTCACTGCTGTTTCTGAAGTCAAACACATGGTTGTGTGCTCCGGTCCAAGAACGAGGGAGATGTTTTCTCCAGGCAGGCCAAGCTTGCCTTCCCTTTTGGGTCTGGGGATTTTCAGTGGGTTCTGAAAGAGCACAGAGCTGGCCACTGAGGGGAGCTCTCAGGGGTCCCCTTAGTGCTGTGGGGGTGCAGCCTTGTGGCACTCTTTCTCTCTGCTGGGGGGATGTCATGGTCACCACCTGTGGCATCCCCGTGGTCCCCAGCCGCCTGGCTGCAGTGGGCATCCTACGATCTGTGGGGATCGGATGGGCGTGCGTGGTCTCCTGTGGCGCTTCTGTAGCGGGAGCCCCGGTGTCACTGCAGACCCTGCCTGGGAGGCCTTTGCTGTGTCCCCTAAGCAGAAGGCACGCCCGTGGTGCCTGCCCCTCAGAGCGGACGGCGTGGCTGCTGCCGTGGATCCTGTGGCCCTGCAGCCGCCCTTTGTGCCGCCTCCATCTTGAGGCAAAGTAGTCGAGGGCTGGTGCAACTTGAGAGGCAGAAATTTTTCATTTACGAAAAGTCAACTGCTTCTAGAGTTTTCTCTGATGACAAGTGATTGCCAATTTTGGTCCCTAGATGATATTAGGAAAAAAAACCCAACACACTTAATCACCCATCAAGCTAAAAGTGACACTTTAACAAAGGGTGAGAGTAGCTGCTTTCCAAAAAGCGTGTACTATGGAGAGAGCATCTTGAAGGCAGGTCTGTTTGGTGCCGAGGATGGGACTCGGGACCCCGTGTGCCGTGCGCCGCTCCCCCACAGCCGCGCCCCAGCCCACGGAAAACATCACTTAAATCGTTCTATTGTTTGTGCTTTTTTTTTTGTTGCCAAGAAGTGATGTTAAGAGTGTCATTTGTTAAAAACCTATCGCAAATACCTACGCCCTTAACTTGGGATCAGTGTTTTTTGAAGCTTTTAAAAATCCTTTTATGAAAATTGCTGTGGATTTTGAGCTGGGCTGTTAAAAACAGGAGATGAAACAATGATACCTTCTGATTGGTGTCGAAGCCAAAATGTCACATTAGCGGGGAGAGGAGCTTTACGAGTAAAATGTTCTCCCAACTCTTCACCCTGGGTGGGTGGAGGTGGCAGCGAACTCCCAGGCAGAGGGTGAGCGGCATCCCTCCCGGTCCTCGTGTTCCAGGAGGCGCGCTGGTCGGCCTCGACACAGCTCAGTGGGGAAACTGAGGTGCCACCAGACGGCTTTCACATTCCTGAGTTGCAGAAAGTTTGTATCAGTGAAAGCATCTTTGGTTCTGTTGCTCTGAGGATAGCATAACTCTTTGTTTTAATGATTTCAAAGAAGTTGGTTGATACTCTTTTTTCTGTTGTTGATATTTTTAATACCATATTTATAAACAGCACATTAAAATATATTTAGAAATATTCATTACTTTATTCTTGCTTTCATTTGTTCTGTTTTGGCACCTGTAAAATGTCCACATTCTGTGGCTTTGGCGCAAGTGGGCCTGTGTTGGTGGCATGTGTGGAAGGGCTTGGTTGGTGGGGTACAGTCAGAGGATTGCATGCCTCCGTTGTAGAAGCAGGGTCTGTGTGGGGACTCCTGGGCGCTGATTGATGGCCTCATTTTCTTTCCCAGGAGCTGGCGAGGCTGCACTCGGCGTGTCACAGCACACAGAGCAGGGTGTCCCTCAGGGTGGCCCCGGAGCAAACACTGCCTCCCGGGGCCCAAGGGGAGGGCTGTTGTGATCTGGAGGTCTTGGCCTTTTGTCTGTCTCCATGTGACTCCTGGCTTCTCATGTCTGCAAGCTGCCACTGTCCTGTCCCGTGGAGGAGTTCTGGGTGCCGGAGGCAGTCCACTGTGGCAGCCCTGGGGCCATCTTGAGGGGAAACCGCCTTCTCTGTGTTGCTGGTCTGGCCACACGCACAGCCCTGGGGACGTCCAGGGTGGCACACGAGCTCCACCTGAGAGTCCCCGGGCACCTAGTGTGAGAGGTGAGAATGGAACAGGAGGAGCCCTGATGATTGATGTGTTGGAGGCTGATCTCGCTCTGCCTGGGAGATGGCAGCGACAGAGGTGCTTTCCACACTGTGTGTGTGTGTGTGTGTGTATGTGCGCACGAAGGCGCATGCCACAGTGCCACAGGCACTTGGCATGGCTGTGACAGCCATGCGAGGAACCAGGGCTGTCTTCTCCTTAGGGAGCCCAGTGAGATCCCCGGGGGAGCACGCCTGATGTCCTTCCATGGCTCAGGTTGCTGTGAGGACCACTCATCGTTACCCATTGTGGCTTCCACTCCTGTTGCTGGCTTTGTGGCTGAGCATGTGTCTGTCATGATAATGTCATGGCTGTAAGATTAGCGATTCTGAGAACAGCCTTCAGAGCAATCCACCTGTATGGTTAGACTCCCAGGTCCACAGCCTCCTGCACGGACTGCAGCCTGGGAAATGTTGCCAGGTGTTCCCGAGACTCCTTGCTGTCTGCCACAAAGTGGGTTTAGGGTTGCTGTGTGGCTTATGTGAATTATTACCCACAGTGCACGTGGGACCCAGAGCCAGGCTGTCAGCATGGCTTTCTGGAGGGTGCTGAGAAGTGTGATGTCAGGTCCCAGAAAGCCCCATCCAGCCTGGAGAGTGCTCTTTGTCTGTGGGCTCCCAGTTTGGTGGCATCTTCATTACATGATGTTTGTCTTGTGACCTAAGTGTTTTCTGACAGTCTCTTCTCTGTCTGTGTTGTAGGAACCCAGCTGTTCAGTGGCAGGAGCGACTTTAGGGTCACCACCTTGAAATTTTACCCGAAAGACCACAACATTTTTTTATGTGGAGGCTTCAGCTCTGAAATCAAGGCTTGGGACGTAAGGACCGGCAAGGTAATAAACACATAGCGTCCTCCTTGGGCTGGCTTCTCATGGGAGAGCGTCCGAGACCCTGGGACAGGGCGGCATCCTGTGTAGGACCCTTGAGATGCACCAATCCCACCTACCGCGCAGGCAGTGCCGCGCCCTTCTGGGAGTGTTGGAGGAGCCTTCTTGAATGGTTGGGCTGGGTGCGGGCTGGGTGCAGCTCTCTGTGCCTGCATGCGGCACGCTCACGCCCTCTTGCTCAAGCTGTGCAGTACTTTGCGCTGATGAGGAGGGGCTCTGCCTCAGCTGCCTAAGGAGATAATACAGGGATGTGGAGAAGACAGGCCCAGAGAGGAGCTCTGTGCGCACGTGCGCAGTAGTTTCCTCCTCAGCGTCGCCTGCCCCAGCACCTTACGGCAGCCAGTGTGGTCTGCTGTCACCCCAGGGGAGATTGTTAGTGGTCCAGTGCCCACCTCAAGTGCAGTAGGAGCCAGCAGCCTCACACTGGCCTGCAAGGCCTAAATGCTCTCCCCGCCCCCCTCCCCATTCTCCAGTCCCACTGGCTGCCTGCCTTTCCTGCTCCCCTGGGCGCACCCCTGCCAGGACCCTTGCACGTTGCTCCTCTGCCTGCCTGAGGTGCTCTTTTCCAGTTTGCTGTGCCGTCAGCTCCCTCCCTTCACAGCATGTGGCTCAGATGCCACTTCTTGGTGAGGCCCGCAGTCCTCTGGGCTGAATTAGTCCCCTTTGCTACATTGTATTTCTGTACCTTTTAACATCAGCTGGTATTCTGGGATGTTTTTTCTATATGTTACATTTTTTATTTTAAGACCGGATCTTACTAAGTCACTGGGTTGCCCAGGGCGGCCTTGAACTTGTGATCCACCTGCTTCAGCCTCCTGGAGTTCTGGGACTACAGAGCCACTGTGCCTGTTTCCTGTGGGCTTTTCCTGTTGACTGATTTGCTGGCCCCCCACTCATAAGTTCTCAGAGGACAGGGTGGGGTGGGGCAGCTGGGTGGGCTTGTCTGCTGCAGACACCTTACTTGTAGAAGCTGGGATTACAGGTGTGTACCACTGCACCCAGGGGCAGGGTGCCACAGCAGGGCGCAGGGCTGGCCTGGCATGGCATGTGGTACCAGGGATCGAACTTGGGTCCTTGCGCTTGTCAGGCAGGTACTTGGACAGCTGAACTGTCTCCCCAGTCCACTTTGTAGAACTTTTAGAAAAGCCCATTGTTCGTTCGAGCAGATGGGGGAGGACAGCCGTGGAGCGTGCCCTCTGGGAGGGGGTGTGAGGTGTGTGTGGCTGGTGCCCAGTTGCAGTGGTAGGAGCAGGGACATTCTGTGCTATGCTTCGGATCCATAGCACGGCGGAGCTGGGAGGTTTGTGAGCAGAGCCAAGGGCTGGCTCTGTGGTGGCAGGAAGGATGCCTGAGCTCTGGAGGCCCATTTCTAGTCTGGAAGCACCACCGGGCTAGAGGGGACACAGGCACAGGTGCCACAGAGAGCTCGTGACACCCTGTGCAACCTACACCGAGACTGTGAGAGAAGGGGGTGTGAAGGTCGGAGTATCCTCTGTCGGGGTCCCGGGGCTGAGACCTCATCCTGCTGTGTCTCTGTCCTCGAGGACGAGGGGCTTCTGACCCAGCCTGGACTGGCTCTGCCATTGGCCAGACCTTGCAGGGAAGGCGCAGCAGATCCCCAGCCTTGGCTCCTGGTGTCCTGGAGGCCCTTCCTGGAAGGCTGGCGGTTCGCCTTCTCCTGTTCTGCTTCGTAAGAAAAGTAAAACAGGAGGGCCGGGGAGATGGCTCAGTAGAATAAGCGCTTGCCTGGGAAGCGCAAGGGCCTGAGTTCAATCTCTGGTTCCACTAAAAAAAAAAAGAAAAGAAAAGGAAGAAAAAGTGCCTTTTTCTTTAGACAGAATGGGACATTCTGTCCCCAGATGAGCCCACACTCTGGCACTTCAGGAGGTGGGGACTTCTCAGGAGCCAGGCAGGTGCTTCAAAAGCAGTAGTATGGATGCATTTACTCATTAAAAGCACACCCACAAGCACCCTCTTTGACAAGGATACTTGGAGAAGAGAGGAAAATTACCCAGGAAGGAGTGGATGCAGTGGAATTTAAAACAAAAAACAAAAAACAAACCCATAGTGCTTTATATTTAGGGCATAGAGGCATGGTACGTGAAAGCGAGCGTTAGACTGCATCGTGTGGCCCGGAAACTCTTAGGCCATTCGAGGTGGGGCCACGTGGCGACCAGAGCAGACCTGATGGCTGCCCCTAACGGTGAGCCCACAGTGCTTAGCTTCAGAGACATAAGAAATTACTCACTCTGGACACCATCTGATTTAAGAGTTTGTTAAAAATATCGTATTTTCTCCCGGGGCAGACGCCAGCTGACAGGCTCCAAAAGTGCTGGGGCAGAAGCAATTAGAAGCAGATGTTGCTGTGACTGGTGTGGGCATGTTTGCGAGTCTCTCCCCAGCTAATAACGTGGGTAAAGGGATCTGTGCGGTGTTTGTTTTCACTTCCTGTTAACCAACAATCCTCCCCCGCCGGGTCGCGCGGAGAGGGGGTGGCGGATCTGTTTGCGTCCGTTGGGTTCAGGGGACGGCACTGCCTCTGCTTCGATCAGCCCAGCGTTACCTGTGCCTTAGGGGGACTCGGCGAGCTGCGCGCGGGGAGCCTGCGGGGCCTCCCGGAGCCCTGCCCCTGCCTCTGTCCTTGGTGCTGACCTCGGTGCTGGCCCCAGCAGCCTGGCGTTTTGCGAGCGCCGCCGGCCTGGGCAGCAGAGGCCCGCAGGGGCAGCAGGAGGCTCCCGGGCAAGGAGGCAGCGCGCTTCTCCCTCCGGCTCCACTGGGAGGAGTGTGTGTTATACAAGTGAAAGGGAATGGTACAGAGAAGTTGGGAAATTCAGGGGAAGAAGGAGGGGAGGAGGAATCCAGCCAGCCAGAGGGACACAACTTGGGACCTGCTGATCTATTTCTCTTATTGTTATTTCCCCCTCTGGTTTCTTTTTTAGTGTAAAAATGGTTTGGTCATGCTTTTGTATTTTGCATGGATTATAGGAGGCTCCCTTGCCATTACAAAGGTGTAAAATGTCAGTGATAATCCCCTTAACTCAGCGTGCTTTCTTGATTGCTCCTCCCTTAGGTCCAGTTCTCAGAGCAGTGTCTGGCATGTGCTGCTATGGGTAGAATTAATCGGATTTTTTTTTAGACTTGTTAGTGTCATGCATGCTGTGATCAGAATGCACGGTGAATGTCCAGATTGTTAAAAAGATGCGCTGCTATTGATGCCTCTTGGAACTTCCTCCTCACTTTAGTTTTAAGTTTATTTTTAGTACAGGGTCTACAGCATCTCACTACACAGATAAGACTTGTAGTGATCCTTCCTGTTTTTTTTTTTTTTTTTTTTTGCGGAACCAAGGATTGAACCCTTGTGCTTGCCAGGAAAGCACTTATTCCACTGAGCCATCTCCCCGGCCCCTTAAGTTTACTTTTATTTTTATTTATTTTTTTGTGTTGGGACTTGACCTCAGGATCTTGCGCTTGCCAGGTAGGCGCTGTGCCATTGAGCCACATCCCTGGCCTCCTCACTTTAAACACACTCCCCCCTCCCCCCCCCGTTATTCTCGCCACTCCTGGAGCAGTTCTAACGTTCTCTTTCCTGAGTGTCTTTAAGCGGCACTGCTGTAGCCTCGATGTCCTGGATTGACTCAGCACTTTGACCTTTTTGCGTTCATGGTTGTTCTGGGTTAGGGGAAGGGCCAGAAGGTGCATGGTGCTGTACCTAGCAGATGGTGGGTGAGGACACTGCTGCTTCAACTAGCCTGCCTTCCCATGGGATGGCACATGGCAGCTGTATTTCTGGTATTTGCTATCACACCTTGAAAAGACAGGCAGGAAAGAGGCTGCACACACCTGCTTCAGCGCAGCAGTGGCTACAGCAGGGTCAGTGTGTCCGGATGAATATGCGAGTGTGTGTGCGTGCGTGTATGTGTGTGTGTGTGTGTGTGTGTGTGTGTGTATTTTAAGGAAGATTAATGGCAGTATATCCTTGACAGTAATACACTTTAAAAATTTAGACATTCATTGTACTTTTCTATTATACCTCACATGTTGGATGTGTAGGAGCTTCCAAAAGGCTCTTTTTTTTGCATTTAAAACTAACAGATGTGAGTTGGGGAGACAGCTCAGTGGTATAAGCCTGGCATGTGCAAGGTCCATAAGAAAAAAAAAGGCAAACTAAAACTAACAGATGTGAGTGTAGGTACCCGGGGCCAGCACGCTGCAGCCTAAAGCAGAACTCCAGCTGTTTTTGTCAATAAAGTTTTATTGGAACGTACTTGTTTATGCATCATCTGCAACCACTGTCACTGTGTACGGCAGACTTGAGACTACATGGTCTACAGAGCCAGAAATCTTTAGTCTTGGTGGCTACGCTATGGAGAACCTCTGTTGTCCTGTTGTTTGTCAGGGCTGCCTGCCAGATCTGGCTGCTGTGGTGGGTGCTCCATCCTTACCCTACTTGAGCTTCCCTTGGAGATGCTGTGCGCTCAGGGTCTGTAGGGTCCGTCTTTTCTAGGGGGTTATAAGTCTTTCCTTCCCTACTGTACTCTGTAAGCAAACCACCAAGTTTATTGTTACATGTATTCCACTCTAAGAAACATGGTTGTGCAACTTGCTTTTTCCATGTGTGAGATTTACTTCTTTAAGCCTGAGTCCAAGAACTCTTTTTTTTAGTTTTATGTTTTGTATTTTAGGACAGGGTCTACAGTGCCTCTCTGCATAGATTGGACTCGTAGTGATCCTCCTGTTTACAGGCACGTGCCACCAAGCTATGTCTCAGTCGCTGTCTCACTGCGCCCCAGGGGCGGGGCTCGCACGGCTAGCAGGCCTAGGGATTGAACTCCCATCCCGTGTCTGCCTAAGCAGGCACTTTAATACACTGAGCTATTTGGCCAGCCCCCAAGAACTCTTAATTGCTGAGTCAAAGCTAGCCAGCACTGTGAGGGCAAAGAGCTGGT